TACCCCCCCCCCTGGCCCCTCCCCCCCCTAGAAAGCCCAGGATCGCCGAAGAGAAAGGCACGCGCTCCACGCACCACAAGGGGACCCTTGACCATGGGGTCGCCGCTCTTGCGCTCAGAGCTGAAGCTCCGGCGACTTGGGGGCGAGCGGTGCCGTGCAGCACCCCCGGCGGGCGGCTCCGCCCTGGGAGGCCTCGGCACCGTGCTCGCTACATCAGGGTACTCCAGATTTTGTAATAAAGGGGAGGGGGGTCTCAACCCTCCCAGACGAGAAGTTTTAGACCCTCCCGGACCATCCATGAAAGGGCGGCCCTTTGCCCAGACCCCCCGAACCCTCCAGGACAGCTCAACTCAGACCCCCCCCCCAAATGCAAGGGCGCCCTCGAGGGCGCGAAGTTATTCGCGCTTCGCGCTTCGCGGTTCGGCTCCGATTCCTCCTCGTCCTCCTCTTCTCCCCTGGGGGGCGGCGCGAGAGGGCGAAGTTATTCGCACTTCGCGCTTCGCGCAGCGCGAAGCGCGAAGTTGGGAGCCCTAGCAAATGTGACCCCCCGACTTTTATGATGGAATCCGGAGTAGGCGCGGGGGGGCTCCCTGGCCAGACGCGTCCAGAGCCGCCGCAGCGGGCCGGCGACCCGAGGCCCCGAGCCATCGGGGCGCGGGCGAGCCCTATAGGCGGCTCCCCCGTGCCGGCGTGGTGGCTGCGGCATCGCGGTGAGCGCGGGGTTCTCCGAGAAGTGATGCGCGTCCACCTCCCACCCTCCCTCCTCCCTCCTCCCTCCCTCCCTCCTCCTTCCTCCCTCCTTCCTCCCTCCCTCCTCCCTCCTTCCTCCCTCCCTCCGCCCTCCCTCCTCTCTCCCTCCTCCCTCCCTCGTCCATGGCCGCAAGCGGGCCCTCTGCCCGGGAGGTCCCCGGACAGCCTGCGTGCGAACGGGCCTGTGCTACACCCCCTTTTGTCGGCGGTCTGGGAGGCCCGAACGTGCGGCGTGTTGCATCGTGGTCAGCACGGGGCTCGGAACGAAAGAGATCCGTTCTGAACCGCAGAGTCGTCGTTTGCCCAAGACGTCGTTTGGACAGCTTTGGCGCGTACGGGCCCATGCAGCTGCCCCTGGCAGTTCCCCTGTGGATTGGCAAATCATACCGTGGATACTACATAAGGCTTTTCACTGGGCGTTGGGGATTGACTTGGATGCTGGGCCAAACTATGAATTGACATGGTGTCGGGGATTCTGAGTGTGAGTGTGTTTGAGTGGCGAGGGGATGCGAGTGGGAGAGCATTCTGAGTATTATGGATGAGCCTGGGTACGAGTGACTCAGAGTGGGAGTAGTTAGCTTTGCCAGTGGGTACGAGTGCGAGTTGGATACGAGCCCATGGGAGTCTGAGAGTGAGTAGTCTAAGCATGAACGAATTCAGGTGGAGCATTGACGAGCCAACGCTTGAGAGGATACTAGTCTGACGGAGTATGAGAACGAGTCTGAGTACGACGAGGTATGAGTATGAGTTTGTCTGAGCAGTATATGTGAGTATGCGTGTGTGTGTGTGTGTGTGTGGCCCTGGCCTTGAATGGAAGTGAAAAGGATGGCGGGAAGGAATGGTGGAAGTGAGGCGTTTGGCGGAGGGTTCACACTCTTCACAATGGCCCCATGCATGGAATACGGGGAAGCACATGCGGCAGAGCCCGCTCGCCCCCTGTGCATCCCCAGAGGGCCGCGCCAGGCCCAACGGAGTGCCCACGCTGCCCTCCTACCCTGCCCCCCCCTCTCCACCTGTCCAACGAGCTCGCCTAACCTGTCCCAGCCCATACTCCTCCTCCTCCTCCTCCTCCTCCTCTTCCTCCTCCTCCTCCTCCTCCTCCTCCTCCTCCTCCTCCTCCTCCTCCTCCCTCACCCGTCCGCCTCCTCCTCCTCCTCCCCTGTCCCGTCCCACCTTCTCCCCGGCTGGGGCGGGGGGGGGGGATGGTGGTCGGGCGGGGTAGGGAATTGGACGAGAAGGGAGTCGGGGAAGGATGGGAGGACGAGGCGGGGGAGGAGGAGGAAGAGGAGGAGGAGGAGGAGGACGGGTGGGGCGGGCGACTTGAGGTCGTGACGGGGACCTCGGCTGCTGACTGCTAGCCGCCGTCTACTCACTGGTGCTGACGTGCGCTGCAGATGTTGCCCTGTCGTCGGTCGGCTGGTCGGTTCTGGGGCAGAATCGCGAAGTCCAAGCAGAGAGCGAACGGCAGCGAGCAGCCATACTCGCTTGGCGTCAGCAGCGGCGGTGGGCTCCTGCCAGCGCCAGCAGGCGCAACCTCGTCGGCCTCTTCAGCGTGTACCGTGTCATGCTAGCGACACAAAGACGGGGTCGTCTGCGCCGACACTGGCGCGTAAGCTGCCCACGCAAGGTCGCGCATCAGTTCCCTCGCTTTGCATGTAGCGTGCCGCGCTGGCGGCCCGCGTACGTCACCGCGTAAGGTTGCCATGCCATCTCGCGTAAGACCCGTTTTTGATCGTCGCACATGTGATGCCATTTTTGTTGTTCCACATATCATTCGTGGTGGCCCCCCCTTCCTGTCAGCCCGGGGTCGCGGAGGGCCAACCCGAGAATTTCCGCAACCTTCGTGGGCCATCCCGCCCTTCTCGTGACGTCTCCGCCCCGTTCGCGCGCGTTCCTGCCGGTGCGGGGCGGGCTCCGCGATTGCATGGGAAGTATTCGTATGTTTGTTCGCCCCCTTCAGCCTCGGAGGCGCTGGGCGTCGAGCAGCCCAACCAGATGAAGGGGCTACAGGTGTTCATTGCCGACATCAGGAACTGCCCCACCAAGGACCGACTGGCCTGCGTGGCCCCTGTGTTTTTGGTGCTGTCCCCCACTTCTCAGGCTGGTTTTCATCCAGGTGTAGGACAGAAAACCCTCACCCACATCACGAACATTGAAGGAGGGTATGAGCGCAGCTGCAAGCAAGCTGTATATTGACGCCTCAGATGAACATGAACAAAGAACACCTATATCGACTGTGTACGCGTAACGTGCACACATACATAAGCAACCCAACCCATAACCTACAAACAACGTTCACGGTTTCTTGTACCACTCATGCGGAGTGCAAGCCAATCGCATACACGAGTAACACACCTTTTCTGAATTTCAATTCGCGCAAACATCGCACACTCATAACAATAGTGAGCGCACGCACGTGCAACCTGAATAGCTTACCGAAGTAGAACACACGCATTCGTACCATCAGTATTTTACGCTTGTGAGATCTACCCACGTCTACCTTCGTTCTTACAACACGGCCCGAGCGTACATACCGACCCCTTTATGATGGCGAGCAAACGTGTCCATCGATAGCACCCCAAAACATCATATGTTACAGGCGCAATCACGCACGTCACAGTCGCACACCATGCACATAACATGCAGCAGCGATGAAATTCAGGAGGCGAGCGGGGGCGGGGCACGGCGGCGGCGCCCGCGCCGCTCGGGCGCGCTGCCCCTGCGAGAGGGCCCCTTTGCGACGTGGGCCCCGAGCGACCTTCGCCGGCCAACGCCGCCAGAGTAGGGGGCCACTTGCGAACCCTACCCCTACTCGGGGGGGAAAAAGATACGGATACGTGTTGTCCACCTTCGTTTTCGGCCTTTCCTGGTCCTCCTGGGGAATCCTCGTTGTCACCGCTGGATTCGCTTCGAAATTCTGGTCAGAACGCACCCCAAGAGAGGTCCGGGGACAACACGTATCCGTATCTTTCCGCCCTCCAACCTACCCCCCACGATTTCTGAGGGGGGGGGGGTCCACTTTCTGCAGGAGCTCCCGAGCGAGGTGAGCCCCGCCCTCCCCCTCAGAAGTCGTGGGGGTGTATGGGGTAGGGTTCGCAAGTGGCCCCCTGCAGAGGACGCCCGGCACCACGACCCCTCGGGATCAGCGCGGCGCGGACGGGTGGAACTCGCGCGCGAGAGATGTGCTCTTCTGGACCCGAGAACGCACGGCGCGGCGCTCCCGGCGGGCGCACCGCCCGCTTCGGCGGCGGAGCGCCTCGCGAGCGCGAGCCGCAGGACAAGCCGCTCGTGGAGAGGCCGCTCGGCCACCCGGGCAGCGCACTGCGAGTCCAGGCCTCCTCGACGGGGCCAGAGGGCCGCGCCGCATCGCGGGCGCGTCGCCGATGCGGCTCGGTGTGGAGCCCGAGGTGCCACGTCGACGTCGCGGATGGAGCGCCGGCGTCCCCGATGCATCGCCGATGTGTTGGCAGTGCGGCGAGTTCCTACGACCCCACTTAGTCGGACCCCATGTGGGCGGCCTTCTAACGAGGGCGACGGGATGCGCAGTAGGCTTTCTGCGCTGGCTGCGCCTCTGGCGGCGAGCGAGGGAGGGGAAGAGAGAAGGAGCAGGCCTTCCCAGAAGGCGGCGGGACTTCTCAGCAGCCCGCGCGCCCTCTGGGACGTTTTCCTGGCCTTCGGGGGGCGGGGAACTTCTCAGACGGCCGAGGGACTTCCTCCTCCTCCTCCTCCTCCTCCTCCTCCTCCTCCTCCTCCTCCTCCTCCTCCTCCTCCCCCTCCCCCTCCTCCTCCTCCTTCTCCTCATCCTCCTCCTCCTCCCTCCTCCTACTCCTCCTCCTCCTCCTCCTCCTCCTCCTCCTTCTCCTCCCCCCCCCTCCTCCTCCCCCTCGTCCTCCCCCTCCCCCTCTCGCTCGCCGCCGATCTGTCACAACCGTACTGAGCAGACATGGGTTCCACCGCTGTCTGCGGCGGAGTGGTGTTCGGCAGCACGCGTTCAGAGAAGGGGTGCAGGGCACCACGTAGGGCGTTTTGTAGCACCCCCCCCGAGCCGAGAACCCACAACGAGCGGTGCGCACCACGATGCGGTGGTGGACGCCGCCACGTGAACGGAGCTTTCAACGAGGCGGAGATGCATGATGTCCCGAGAGCCATGGCGACGGCTATCGTTTTTTTGTTTCGGCATACGCGACGGGTTTGGAGGAAAGTTGCGGCCAAGGACGATTTCATGCACATCGTGCGTAGAATTGGGCGGCCCTCGCCGTCGGGCGCGCTGATGGTCTCTGATGCTGGTGGAACTGGACATTATATGCCCGACGACCTTCACACCATACGAGATCGTATTTTTTTCATCGACGGCGCCAGTGACAGGAAACATGATCAATGATTGGTGTATGCCACGCGGCTGGCAATACCGACTCATCCGTTGTCATGCGTTTAGGGGGCTCGGCATGTCGTTGCGAGCCGTGCGCGGATCCCCCCCGCCACGAGACCACCTGCCTTTGCTGCTGGAGATTCGATCTGGAAAAGACCCTGGCGAGCTATCCAAGCCCTGCGGCCTGGGATGCGAGCGAGAGGACGATCAAAGTTGCCGAGGGCTACGCGTAGCTGGTCACATATGTTAGGAAAACTACCAAAGAACGGTCGGGAAGACCGGCTATCGAAGCTCAGCCCGGAACGGCATTTATGAATGGTTTCAAAGAGTTCGTGTTGCTGGAAGTAACGATCATACCGACTACCAATATGGCCTCGTTGCGTTGGTTCCGGACCATGGGGCACGAGTTTCGGAAAGGAAGCGCCGAATCTGGAGCTTTCGGGGGACAGGTGGCCCACCCGCAGTGGGGTAGATTTTTCCCCTCAAGCGACATCGAGTCGGGGCGCCCGTTGCAGCATGCGGTTTCGTCCGACACAAGCGGCGCGAGGGAACGCCATTGGCAACGCAGCGTCTAGCATGGAGGCTAAGGCAGTGCCAGATTAGCTGCGGAAGCGCTTTGAAGGACTTGTCAAGCGTTCTCGGCAGTGCAGTTCGGCTGTGATTCGATCGCGCCGCGGAGAACCTACGCCAAGGCCGGGGACTGGATACTCTGCGAGGACCGCTACAGGAACGGCGCCATCCATATGATGGGGAGGCGAGGATTACTTCTGCGTGAAGCCCAGGTATGGCGGACGCATGGGCGACCCCTTCGTTGTGACCGCCTTCGTGGGGGCCTTCACGGAGCCAGCGGTGACCTGGTCTTCCGCGATGGATATGTTTCGCGGGACCTCTTTGCTGCAGGGCGGCTTTCCGGGCGAGGGCACCGACCTCGAGCGCGGACGACATTCGTCGAACGATCCCATCCCAGGTCGGCACCCCGATCGCCCAGTCGGTCACCGCGCGGCGCGGGCAACTGACATCCTGGACGTAGCCCTTTCCATGGCGAGCATGCAGCATATCCGAAACCAGCGGGTCGCCAGCTTCCGCATCTGCGGCGAGAGTTCCACGGCTTGCAGGCAATGCCTTCGACGTGAGGGCGTCGTCGCCGGGACAGTTTCAGATGCCGCTCGGCATTCAGGCCCTGATGCTTCGCCCGATCCGACTCTCGCCGGCGCTTGGTCGGCGCTCCGCGGCTACGAGCGCCTGGTTGTTGGAGATCCCGCGCAGATGGAAGCGCGGTTTGCTCGCAGGTTCTCGCTCGCGTGCGGTCTTCTTTTCGATGGTGTTTTTTGTGAGCGCGCATCGTGCGCAGGCTGGGCGCAGTCGCCGCGCGCGGAGGAACCTCCTGGGACAGGCCGACACATCGCCGCCCCGTGACAATCCTTCAGGTTACCTCCTTTTGGCCGACTGCGCCGCGCATGATCGGGCTGCGATCGAGGCGCCCCTCTCGGTGCTAGGCCTGGACCAGACTCCCTAGATGCCTCCGACTCGCACTCCTGGAGAACGGTCTTTAACCATATTCCTCCCCGCGGGCCCTGCATATGCGTTTCGACTTTCACGCTGCCGCAGCCGCCTGCCCCGACCGCTGCGACTCGCTACCCGACATGGCGAAGCGCCCCCAGACGCATTGGGGGATGCGGGGGCGGCCAGGGATTTCTTCGAGATCAATTTCGCTCAGTGTCGGGCCTCCGCAATTTTCGTCACAATCCCCCCTTTTCGGGTCGGCTGGCCACGCGGGGGAGGGCGTGGATGGCGAGGGCGCGGTTGTCGAGGGCGCGCGCGTCGACCAGTCTGAGCGCTGCGCTCGCCTGCGCCGGGCTAGAGCGCTGGTTTAGGTTCGCGAAGGAGCACTGGCTCTCGACGCGAACGCGGCGCAGACAACATGCGGAACCTGGCGCGTCTCATCGCGCCTGCAAGCGCGCGCAGTATGCCGCGGGAGATTTTCAGCGCAGGCCACGGCTAGCCGACGCCTACGGAGTGCTGCGGTGAGCGGCCAGCGCGAACAGCACGGGTCCACTTCAATTAACAGTTGACAGGTCCCCCTTTCGCGCGCGCATCCCGTCTTGCGCAGGCCGCGCTGTGCCCGGTCTTTCAGGGGCCGCGAGGGGCGCCCCCCGACGCGCGCGCGGGACGTCGGGCACCCCCGCGCCGTTGGCCCGGTCGCCCCCCCACCCCCCCCGCGGGGTGACGCGCTCCTGCTTCTGGGGAGGAGCAGCGGCCGAGAAGGGCCAATTGGGCCAGCGGGGGGCCCGATCGACTCGCTGGTCCACGGCGCGGCGAAGATGGCGGTGGGCGCCGAGCGCAGCTCGGCGATCTTGGAGAGCGCGCCCTGCTGCGCTTCTGTCCACGGGCGCGGGCGCGAACTCCATCGGCAGACCTGCGTCGGCAGCGACGGGCGGCGCGGCGACGCGCATGCAAGTCCACGAGAGAAAAAGAAAAGAAGCGAACAACATCGGCAGGACAAGTAGAGGCCCCCCTCCCGTTGCATTGCTCGCGCGCGTCGTCCAGCGGGCCCTGGGCGAAGCGATGGCAAGCGGAGATTCGCCGAGCGACGGCGGCGACGAGGCGTTCAGCGAGCTCTGGGCGACCATCGTGGACCAGCACAAGCGTCATCCCCAACAGTGCGTCACGTTCGCGC